CTGGTCTGCTGGATATAAACATGAGCATCAGTTTCTCTGTAGCTCAGAGAGATAAATATTTCTCAGATGTTAAAAAGCAGATTTGATGACATGAGCTCTAAAGTTTAGTTCTCATTTAAAGACGACATCAAGTTTTCTTGACTGTCAGGTTGAATTTGCAGCCAGTTTCTCTCTCTTGTCCCCAACTCCTTTGGTTTCACCACGATGCTTCACAATTTCTTCTCCTGCCAGAAAAATAAAAGGTTTTAATCATATCTTTTACTTATGTAAAAGTAGCAATACCAGGGTGTAGAAATATTATGCTACAAGTAAACATCCTGCATTCACAATTTTACTTAAAGGTGTGGAATGCAATTCTAATCCCGATATATTTCTTTTTTTTGTCAAATTCAGTGAATATCTCCTCACAATCTGCTAGCTGTCCACTCTGTGTGCGCTTAAAAGAAAATCCGGTTTTTGTACACAGCCTTAGGAAACAAACAAAGTGGCTCGGGCCAAGCCACACTATTTCAACCATTCCAGCCATGATTTGTCATTTGTCTGGTAACGGTAAATGACATGCCGACTTTCAGCTTACTTTCTATTTCGCCAAGACATGCTGCTGTTTTGATGTTAGCTATAGTAGCACGCAAGTTTTTCTAAAAAGTTCAAAATCCTTCACTACAGTAATGCCGTTTACTTTTACCTTCTTTCCATGGTTAGTCCATAGCAGTCATTAAGGTAATCATCTTCTTCTGAGCCAAGACTTCACCCCAAAATGATGATTTCTCTATAAATGATTTAGCCAGGATTTTTTAACATAAAAGTTTCTACTCTGATTCTTTAAAAAAAGCATATAAATTTCAAGTGAAGCACAAAGTTTGTAAGATCATCTTCGGTTTGTGCATTTAAAATGCATGCATTACTGTTTGGTCGACTAGCTTTCACTTTCTAACCCACCACTATAGTCTAAGGGTATCCAGAGCAGAGTGTCTTTGAGCACTGTCAGTAAGTGATTCACCACACATTGTTACTTGTAGCCCGCAAAGGCAGTCTGCAATTCATGCAACCACAACACCCAAACCCCAGCAGTCACCAGGGAGACCCTAATGCACACAAAGCACCAGAAAACAATGTTTGGCTAGATGAATATATGATAACAGTTAAAGCCCACAGAAATAAAATACCAAGCACATGCAGTTTACCCATGTTTTCCCATCCTACCTGCTATCCTGAGAAACACAGAGGCCCTATAAGTGACAGTGAGCTATGCTATTTTTCTACAGTACATCAGTGCAAAATAGGGTGATTAGGATGTCAGATGCCATAAAATAACTAATGCCATTTTATGCAACCTTATACTTCTATTCCACTACATCTCAGAGTCAGAAATTGTACTTTTTACTGCATTTCTCCTATCCAGGGAAATTCACCTATCTCCAAATTTGATTTTGAATTTGAATTTTTTCTACTTTTTTTTGAAAGGTTCTGAATACTTCTTCCACCTCAACAAAGAAAAACAATGATAGCACATAGAAGATCACAATCAAAGAAAACAATACTAACCCCCCCAAAAGTGATTTGTACATAGAAAGAAGGGGGTATACACTTTCTTCTGTGTAACAATGCATATGTGGGCTTATCACCACTGCAGTTTCCTCGACCATGTGAAAAAAATTTCGGAAACTGATTTCACTAAAATAAGTTAGTCAGTTCCTGATGTCAACAAGTGCTGTACTTGAGTTTGTTGGGCTTCACTGAGTTAGTCTAAATTGTGTTTAATCTGCAACACAACTTTACTCTGAAGTTAAACCAGCTTGGTCACATTAGAGGTTTAATTAAAAGAAATTGGTTTAGTGTTAAATCTAAGATTAATCTTACACTTGTCTGGGAAAGGTTTTTGTTCATTTGGGTTTAAAAGGACAATTTAGACTAGGACCTAGATTTAATCCCTACCAAAATATTTCCTAAAAATAAAGTTACACCAAATCATGACATCATTATTGTCACAGCCATGGAAAAGAAAACAGCTGACCATATATAGAATAAATAGTTTCAGTGTAGTGCATTGCAAGTTCCTCTAAATCCACCTGAAGCCTTTGGCGCACATATTCTTTTCATCTTTTCTTTGGCTGTCAGAGGACATACAGTACTTATTGAAGGCCACAGAGGTATTGGATGTAATTATGTTTTGTTATGATCACAAAATAATTATTTAGAGACTATTGTGTTTGAAGAACATGATATAGCCTACGGTTATAATTGTGACGGATGTATCTCAAAACATAGAGGAAAGAAATGATGACCATTTGAACACAAACCAGCGAGATTCTTGTGTGGTAATCTTCAATAATGGACAAATCGACTGTGTAAGTGTTTGTAAATGTTCCAGTTGTTTCTACACCAGTGACTTTACATGTCAGCCACATGTTAAAAATAAGTGATCACACTTTTAAAATAAGCCTGTTAACAATATAATGGTACCACGTTGGTTTTGAGTACCAATAGTGGTGTTGCCTCCCTGAACCTCAGTGTGTTCAAAATAACAGCCCTATGTCTGCAACGCTCATCAGCGGTCAGAAGCGCCGATCTTTCCAGTTAACACAAAAACGTCACATTCCAGTTAACATAAAAGTCCACTGTGTATCCTATATGCTGAGATATGAGTACAAAAAATCTACTGTAACAGATTCTTCTTCTGTAGTATATTATTTGACCACAGGATGGCAGCAGAAGCTCATATTGGTTGGTATTCAGCAGCCCATTTGGTAATAATGTCTATGCCTATGATGATGATGCCTTTTTTTGGGGGGGAGATTGGGTACAGTGAGCATCTACTGACTGAGTAGAGGCTGGTTGAAGGTATTGACTAATCATAAGCAGTAGCTAAGACTGGACTCAACCTGTGTAAATGACCATGCATCATGTGATTATCAAGTAAATGTACATGTAAATGTGTTTTTAGATTGTGTGAAAGAAGTTAATTTATATTTCCAGTTGAAGTAAAAACAATGCAGAACCAATCTGATCAAACATTCCTGCCTTTTCTGTTCATGAATGTGCTCACAGGCCTTTTCCACATTGGGCTGTGGGCTTTTCAGTGAATTTAATTGTGTTTCCATGATGGTGTCTATTGTGACAATGCTAAAGCTGCTGCAGAAACACCAGCACTGATATTGATATTGTTTCGCACAGTGTAAAAACACAGTGTGGAAATACTGCATTCAAAATTTTTCTTGAGTAAAAGTACAGAAGCAAAGTACATTTTAAGTATCAAAAGTAAAATCATTAATTTTACAGAATCCACCATGTTGAATGTTATATTTTTCTACAGTATCTCACAAATGTGAGTACACCCCTCAAATTTTTGTGAATATTTGATTATATCTTTTATTGTGACAACACTGAAAAAATGACACTTTGCTACAATGTAAAGTAGTGAATTTACAGCTTGTAAAACAGTGCAAATTTGCTGTCCCCTCAAAATATCCATCACACAGCCATTAATGTCTAAACCACTGGCAACAAAAGTGGGAACACCCCTTAGTGAAAATGTCCAAACTGAGCCTCAGCATGGTGGCCAAGACCATACAGCGGTTCAACAGGACAGGTTCCACTCAGAACAGGCCTCGCCATGGTCGACCAAAGAAGTTCAGTGCACGTGCTTATCCAGAGGTTGTCTTTGGGAAACAGACGTATAAGTGCAGTGGGTGAAGGTGTCAAGGCATCAGATTGGTCTGGTCTGGTGCAGCATAAGTGCTGCCAGCACTGGGGAGCTACAGTTCACTGAGGGAACCATGAATGCCAACATGTACTGATAACGACCCCAAACACACCTCCAAGACAACCACTGCCTTGCTAAAGAAGCTGAGGCTAAAGGTGCTGGACTGGCCAAGCATGTCTATAGACCTAAAACCCTATAGAGCATCTGTGGGGCATCCTAAAACAGAGGTGGAGGAGCACAAGGTCTCTACATTTAGCTGATGCTTTTATCCAAAGGTATACATGTCAGAGGTCACATGCCTCTGGAGCAATTAGGGGTTAAGTGTCTTGCTCAGGGACACAATGGTAGACGGGTCACTGTGGGGAATTGAACTTGGGTCTCTCACACCAAAGGCATGTGTTTATCCATTACACCATCACCATTCCCGTGTCTCTAACATCCACCAGCTCCATGATGTAGTCATGGGGGAGTGGAAGAGGTCTCTGGTGGCAACCTGTGAAGCTCTGGTGAACTCCATGCCCAAGAGGGTTAAGGCAGCGCTGGAAAATAATGGTGGCCACACAAAATATTGACACTTTGGGCCCACTTAGGGGTTTACTCCCTTTTGTTTTTTGTTTAGACATTAATGGCTGTGTGATGTATTATTTTGTGGGGACAGCAAATGTACACTGTTATACAAGCTGTTTAATATAGTACTTGTAGTAAATGTAGTTACTGGTTCATGGTAAAGACATGGGTTTTAATCTGATATGATCACAAGCGGCTTATGCACATCTCATACCTATCCATCCATCTATTTGTTTCCCAGGTGTCTGCGATCACACTGGCAACAGGATGAGAAGATTAGGTTACTGTTTCCTGACACAACACCTGCCTTGAAATCTGACGTCTAGTTTCTAAAACTGTCAGGCTTGCAGGTTCTTGTTAAGGAACCGATTTCTGTTAGAAGGTGGCATCCTGATGTTGTAGATTAAAAAACATATTAGTCAAATCCAAAATCCTGATCAGTTTTGTGCATAGAGATATTTGACATAACACATATAGCAGAAAAAAGGCATCTATTAAAATAGTTGATGAACCAAAATATAGGAAATCTAATTCTAAAATACTTATATATATATATATATATATATATATATATATATGCTGTATTTTCTACAATATTCATTTCAATCATATACCTTATCATCCCAGAAGTTCTCTGGATGTGTGCAAGTGAAAAACATGTCTGAACTGTGTTGCTTTTTATTTCAAAAGATGACCAAATGAAAAACACGAAGACTTTAACAACATAATATTCAGTGGGCATAACTTTTCCAAATGTACACTTTATTTTAAACAAAAGTACAAAAAACAAACATCAGGTATTTACAATACTTGCATGGCAATGTTTACTTTCTTTGGTCATTCTTCCAATTTGATGATTTTAAACAAGGTAGGCAACAAATAGCTAGAAGGTCTGCAATGATTACATGCTGAATCTATATTCAACCAGACGCTGAGCAACCTACTGATGACTCAAATTTCATTAAATATTTTGTAAAGTCTGCAAGCAATTTATTTATCAACGATTTGAATCCAAGTCATGAATTATGTGACAATTATTGAATTAGTCTACCAGGACATTTTATCTTGTACAATATAAATAGCAAAAAGAAAATTAAAACTACACACTTCACAATTACATCCCGGTCTTGATACATTTTCCAATTTAGTAAATGCTCTTGACGGACCAAAATTGTGACATGTACAGCTGCGCGTATTCCATCGTATTCTACACAAATCTGACATGAAAACATGAACCCTAGTGCACATCACAAACTGAAGCAATTACAGGTAGATTTTCAAAAGAAGCCAAACATACAACGGCTACTTTGACACAAACATTGTGTCCTCTCTGGGTGCTCCATTACTAAAATGATGCCATAGCTACAGAATAAACAATCATACCAGAGATGGAGCACACATTGAGTATTCACTTACAGCCTTGACAGGTAAGCTAAAAAAAAAATCCTTTAACGTCTACAGGCACAAGAATTTTTTCTTGGGAAAACAAACTTTGTGTAAAACAATCTGTGCAGCCAAACTAAAGCCAGTAAAATGAGTTATGCTATACATTCCCTCAACAATCTACCTGCTTGTGTTTTACAGTGGTTATGTTGAATGTACAGTACATAAAAAAGATACAGGCAAAATGATTCATTTTCATCTCCTGGTTACTTTGTAAAGAGGTACACACAATTAAAGAACAAAAAAAACATAACATGTAACAACCAAAGAACTCTGTGGCACATCTCCTACTTCCTGCAATGCAACATGTAAATCATATTACCATCTATAACTAATGCAGGGTATGACAATATACCCTTAGCCCTTTCAGGAAGTTCATCTCAATTTCAACATGTTTTTACGCCTGAATGAAGAAATAAACACATTTAGTACAATGATGTTGAAGGCAAAGGTTGTCTGGACTGTGATGACATGAAACTAAGAAGGGATGGCGGTGATGTCCCTCGGTTCCTGCTATTTGTCTCAGAGGGCCAAAGAGTCAAACACAAACTAATGGAGGCCTACACATCCTTACAGCAAAGGCAACTGGTCTAGTAGTAATTTTACTCGCATTAACTGACAAAACCAAAAAGATCTGCATTTTCTCAGTTTCCCAAATTCCATTCTAACAAACATGTATCCTAATAGTAGACAAATTTACACGTTATCAGTAGTGCAGACAAGTTATGTATATCACATACAGTATCCATTCTTTTTTTCTTTTTTTTTTTTTTGAATGGATGAGGAGTTGGGGGGTTTAGATATGCTTTTTAGTAAAATTCTCCCTGAAACCAAATCCAAACCATCTTCATCCCAATATACACTTGCCCCCCCCCCTCCCCCCCCAAAGACAGAGGTGAAGAGAAATGTGCAAAGTTCCATGTTCTCACTGGAAAGAAAAAATTGAATGAAAACAATGTTATTCAAAGGAGAATGACTTTGTTATTCTTTATTTAGACATATGATGGAAATTTTTTTGTTTTTTTCTACCTTTCACACTCCTGAAGGGTGGTTGCCGTTTCTTTACACCTCAGCTTTTTGACTGTTCTCCTCCACTTTCTCCTCCAGTTTTTTCTCCTCCTCAGAAGACCCGTTCTCCTTTTCACCAGTCTTCCAGCTTCCTTGCCTGTTTAGAATAAAACATTGTTACCTAACATGCTGATATCCTTCCCTCGAAAGTCATTTGTATAAAACATACTAAATGTACACGGTAAGAAGCTGTGTTGAAAGGGTTGGATACCAGGTGGGCGAAACTGCCCCAGTGCCCCTACACGGCCTAGCCACTGAGGTGAATTGTTTTATTTTTTTTGTTAATTCAATTAAAAGAGTAGCCAAAAGTTAGATGAGAAAATCAATACCTCTATAACTGTCCGTCAAATATGAAACGGAGGCCAGCAGTAGGTTCACTTAGCATATCATATAGACTGAAACTACAGAGAAACACCTAGCCTGGCTCTGTCCAAAGGTAAAAAAATATCTGCCTACCTGCACCTCTACAGCTTACTTGTTTAATCTGAACAAAATCTGAAGTTATGGTTTTACAGGGGGACGGTTGTGCTGGACTTTTTCTTGGCCGGGAGCAGAGACTTCCTGGAGTCTTATCATCACTACCAGGTTTCCTGGCAAGCAAGTGCAGACTCCAGGAAGTAAATCAAGTAACTGACTAGACACTTAAACCCCTTAAAGCTACAACTAGTTTTCACTAGCTAGTTGTCTGCTTCTGTTTCCAGTCTTTGTGCTGAGATAAGCTAACCATCTGCTGGCCCCAGCTTTTAGTCCGGTTGTTAGAAACTGTCTAGACCTAAATTGCCTCATGTTCTGTGCTTAATTGTTTTCTTCTGCCATAAGACTTCTCATACGTACACATATTGGTTCAGCTGGCCACAAAATATATAAAATAACATTTATCTTATATAATATATGTATAATATTTTAATCATGTGTCTAAATGTATCAAATAATAAAGCATGATTTGTTCTTTTTGAAACAACTGGAAGTTGTGTATATAATGAGAGGAGGCTTAGATGAATGTAAAATTGGTTCGTACAATTAAAAGTGAGAAAGCTATTGAAATTAAAAATATATTCGCTCATTGAGCAACAATCAGCTTGATTTATAGAAAGGTTAATGTTGAATTCTTACTTGGATTTCTTCATGTAGACCAAGTATGCAAGGCCTATAACCACGGTGGCGACGAGGAGACCGACTACAATACCAACCACCAACTTGGTTTGGTCGCTATCATCTGATTGGTCTGTAACAAAGATGAAAATTGAAGCATCAGAGACTTGGGAGACACATTTCAGTATGAAACTCTGGCCTCAATGCATATGAATATAGGGAAGGAAAAAGTCATTATGCAATAAATGCATTGATGAGTGGACACATCCGCACTGTACATGGTCATGACTCACTGAGTTAAATGCTAATGACATATTATTCTCAGTTTATGATTTCAGCCAGTGGGATTACGGACAATGTGGACATTTTGTCAGGATGCTGGTAGCTCCATTCCTCTTATTCCTTCATATCTTTATTTTATTAATGGAAACACACTGTCCAAAGATTGATTTTGCAGTTGTAGAGTCCAAGGTGATGATAAAGGTAAATATCTCATCAAGAGCCTTCTTTCAGCGAGCAACAATTGATTCCCCCATAGTCTTTACTCACCCCCCCACCCCCCACCGTTTCCTACAAGCAAGAAGACTGCTACAACTTACCTTGTTTATCCATTCTCACCTCCTCAAATACTGAAATCAGATATAAAATAAAATTAACGTCCAACCAAAAGAAAAACAAAAACAAAACAAGAATGATGTCTAGAAAAAATACTACTAATCTACTTCTATTGTACGTATGCATGCAAGTAGTTCAAAGAGGAAACAGATCCAGCATCCCAACATACAAACACTGAGTGAGGGGGGAAAGAGAGGTGAAATGTTGTCTCAAACACACAGGAATGAGTAAGCAAGAGAGCAAAGGCACTGCACGCACAGTGTGCACAAAGTACATGCATCAATTACATGTTGACAGTGATGTGGTGACAGTAAAAAGGATAGGCCTTCACTCAGTGATCATTAACCACCAATATAACGAAACAGAAACCTGTCAATACCTGAAAAGCATAAATTATTTTTGCTTCAAATTTTTAAATAATGCATTTATTGATGCTTTGTTTTGACAATGTCTTTTCATGCTTTTCTTTTAATGCTCGTCTTTCTCTAAAATGTTGTATTAAAGTAAACTGATTGGTTGATTATACAAAAGTATACAAACAAAACGGTTTACGTCTGCCCAATATTGTGATTTTTTAAATTCACAGATTAAAAAAATCCTAAATTAGGTTCATTTACCCTCAAAAACACATTTGCTAATTTACTGTAGTTTTAGTTAAGAATCTAAACATTATGTAAGTCAACATGCAGACAGAAAGAGTTAGTGAGCAGAGTAGGAAAACATCCATAAAGGAAGATTACGGAGAGACTGGAGGACTATACTACCATGTTGTACTTACAGGATGATACATTTATAGCTCTGGTATCCACACCAAACTCATTAGACACCGTACAAGAGACAGTCAGATTTGCAGTAGGCACAACTGTGATCTTGTGTGTTATCTTTCCGTTGATGAAGGGACTCTCATCAAGCTGAACAAAAACAAAAACACAAATGTTAGTGTTTACATATCTGACCTTACTCTGTTGGATCTAGAAATTTGCCCCAGATTGTAAGAAGTGTATATTTTGTACCGCTAGGGGGCAACGTTGTATTAATACATGACTCAGCCTTTCCATGACAAAGACACAGCGTGTGCCTGTGGGATGTAGACACTTGAGTCTCAGAGGAAAATCTCAGACACAAAGACAAACTGCCAACACCCTTTTCACATCCTCTACATATACAAGAGGATGTGGCAATTTTGTAAATACCCATTACTGAGCCTGTATTCAAGCCGTACATTATTCTCTCTGAATAGACTCAAAAGGATGCAATGAGAAGATAAAAAATAAACTTTGACTGAAATGTAGTAATGTTTGTTATCTCCGCAATGTATTGTCCTTTGATGAAAGAGTTGTGTGCACCTTTGGAGTTGATTAATTATTACACACAGGTTTAGGTTTTCAGGTTATTTCTGAAGTTAGACACTGACTGAAAGGGCTGAAAAGAATGTGTAACCATCCTACACACACCCTCAGGTTGATGTGTAATTCAAACTGCTTCACTGAGTGTTTCTACTATCAGTGTGCACACAGGTACACCACAGAAACAAAAGGAAAAAAAGGCCCATTAAAAAATTGTCTACAGCACAGTCTGGTGCAAAATACTGTGTTTTTTGCTCAACCACCTAGAAATGTTTGGACTAGATAAGTTAAAAAGTGTGACAGCTGGGCAAAATACTAACAGTGCAACCTGCTATACACATAACAGGGAGTATTCACTCACTCTGCAGTAAAGTGTGAATAGAAAAAGTAAAGCATGAGCTGTCTCAGGACCAAGACACGGGCAAACAGTGGATTGTTTTGTTTCCTCACAGAGTCCAAGCGGATGATGCTTCTGTTTAGTCACATCTTCACATCTCTGCTGATGTTACACATAGGTTTGTTTTGAGGAGAACAGTGCCATTATATTTAAACAACCACATGCGCATCTCAGTGGTTTGTCTTCACTGCTTAAAGAACAATTTATAGCATCTGGGCGTTCAGTGAAAGAACAAGTGTATTTACAGAAGTTGTTTGATGAACCAGACATAAATAGCTCTATAGTTAATCAAAGTGTATCGCCAAATTAAGCCAAAAGTGGTCTTCCATTCACCTGCTGCAGATAGAAACTATCTACAAAATGTCTTGGCTACTTTGTTGACAACATTTAGATGCTTTTTCCTAAAGATGCTGTGACAATCCTGCTGCCATCTTACACAGGAAGACAATTTGTCAGAACAGGAATTTCTATGACAACCACTGTTGATTTATCAGCAAAAGAATGATGAATAAAGGGAAAAAAAGATCAGAAATACTCAAATCATTTTAAAGGATGTGTCTTTTGAAAACTTGGTTTCAGCCTTTAGTGTGTTTCTAGGTAGTCGGAGGACCTGAAGAATTTATGGGATGTGTGGTCACTTGTTGAAGCTGATATCCATCTTGTTTATTTAACCAATACATCATTAAATTCAACTGTGTCGGTTGACAAACGTTAACAAGTGCATGGGGGAAACTCTCCCTCCATAATCTGCAACTGAGAAATTGGCTTGTTGGGTTGCAACTATCCTAGATGACACTAAACTAGTGAGTGCAGTAGTGGGTGTCAATAAGTGAAAAGATACAGATATCAGTTTTAAAGTTATAATCCTTGAGATTTCGATGAAAACAAACCCATTTTAATACAATGTATTATGTGCATTTTTCAGCAATATCCATTAAATGTATTTATAATCATCAATTACCTCTCTGTATGGCAGTTTTCATTGTTAGTGGCAGAGTCCGCCATTCTCATGCTCCATTCAAACTGCCTGCCTAGGATTGCCAGCAAGCGGTGCAGCATGTAATCCAGCTTTCCTATTAGTAAAATTACTCAAAAACTTCTTAACCTCTTTATTAAACCATGATTTTGCTTGGTTGTGCTGTAAACAGATACACCAGTTGCTCCTCTGTTGTATTCCTGACAAAGCAGCTGCTCAAGAAGTGTTAGCTGCAGTTTTAAACCACACTTAATGGTAATCACAGGTGTCGCTAAATCCACCAGGACTGAAATCTTGAGGATTTTAACTTTAGACTGTGCTTTTTTTCCATCCATTATCATCAAAGTTAGTTCTTATGTGGCAATAATATGAATAATTACATTTATAATTACATTAATACTGTATTTTTTGTTATTATACTGTGTTTCCTCAAGCCAAAAGGAACATTCAATTTTCTGTGTGCAGGTACAGAAGGTGTACATGAAAAAATTAAATGTGATGAATAAATGTATGTGCAGTTTATACATTTATACATACGACCTTTAGAAATTGTAACAATTATTGGTGGGAGAATTTCATGTAATGATGATGAGGGCTAATCCTGCAAGAGTGTGAGTGTGCATACCGAGGTGCCATTGATGCTCCAGAAAAAAGCTGGCTTTGGAGAACCTTCAGCCTCACAAATCAAGACTTTGTGTTGGCCGTCGACACCGAGCTGTTTGGACAGCTGTCTGATAACTGGAGCACCTGCAACAGGACGTAACCCTTCAGATACATCTGAATGAGAAAATCATTTTGTCATGGCTGCATTTCATCAGTTTGCTTTCTTTCTGAGAGATAGATGAGAATATGGACACCTGTCACTCTTGTGTGAATGTAAATATAGAGCCACAGCCAGCAGCTGGTTAGCTAGGAAAACAGCTAGCCTGGCTCTGTCCAAAGGTCCATAAGTGTAAAAACGCCAAGTTGTAGTTGTTAATACTTACTACTAGAGTCTCTGTGGTTGCTTGGCTATCCCCCATGCAACCACAAAAAGTCGTTTTACACAGTTTTTGTATACAACATGTTCTTTCATGAGCTTTAGGGGTATTTTTTAGGCAGATCTTTTTTGGCACAGAGTCAGGCTAGTCACTCTAAGCTCTAGCTTTGTGTTTGCCATAGAGACATGAGAGTGGTATAAGATTTCAGCAACAATTAGCAACAAAGCAAAGCGAATAAGCGCATTTCCCAAAATCTTTCCTTTAAGCCCGTACCTTCAACAACCAGGTCAAAAGCAGCTTTTCGGCTGAGGAGTCCCACCGTCACCTCACATTCATAGAGGCCAGAGTCCGAGTAAGTCACCTTGGTAAATCTGGGCACTTTGTCCAGTTTAACATTATCCTAAATTAAATGAAAAGAATATCAGCACTGTCAATAATAAGGACATAATGTGTCATTCATTTGTTGGCTTCGTTGTGTAAAAGATTGGATTTTACCTTTGTCCAGGAGACCTTTGATTCTCCTGAGGCATCAATATGGAGAGTTACATCTAAGGCCTCACCAGCATTCTTGATGATATTTCCAGAGGGGCTTAGATTGATGTCTAGGTCTAAAAAGGGTGGAGAGGATAGTGAAAAGATGGTTCAGAGACCTGACAAGGGTCAAAACATTGCTGTTGTTAACCATACAACCCTGCAATTGGCTCACGGCCCTGCTGAAGCAGCTGATTAGAGGCAGTGTGGTTGACACTTTTCTCAACAAAGCACAGCAAGACAGGTAGGCTGGCAAAGAGAGATAAAAGGACTTTCTTTTCTCTAGCAAACAATTTTCAATGTCATAGTAAGAAATACAATTATAGGTAGAAAAGGAAATTACACGTCGAACACTGGCACGTGGAACATTGCAGCCATTTCTATTTTTCAAGAAATACATGTTTTGGTCTCTTACATTTGACTGTGATGTCCTTGGATGCCTCCATTGTGGGGTCATCAATGAGAGAGCATTTGTATTCACCGGTGGTGTTACGCGAGACATTTGTGATGGTGAAAGTATCTGCGTCTTCCACTTTCATCAACTCTCCCTTCAAAGATGTACAATCAAACAATGGCAGATGATTAGTTTACAATGCCTTGCTGAAGAAAAACAACAGAATACACTTTTAGATGCCAAGCTGCGATAAGCATGAATGGATGGAATTTGTGAGCATTTGATGAGATATCGATGAATATGTGTACCTTGAGGTGGAAGTTGAAGCTGGTAGGGGCTGGGTTCCCGTCTGCCACACACTTCAGAGTCACATTGTCTCCTTCTACTAGAGGTTCCTGAGCAATAACCTGAAGGGCGATGTTCTCTGTGAAGTCTGTGCACAAAATAAGAGATACAAAGTCAGAGAGAGACATATGTGAGGGCGGAGGGTGTATCAAGTGTAGATTGTGCCCTCGGACCCACCCAACAGGTGACTGCAGAGAGGGACAGTGACAGTTTGCTGCAAAATGCAGCTGAGGAGATGGCTGAATTGCCGTCATATTCTGGGGCACTCGACCAAACAATCCTTTTAAAGCTCAATGTTTCTGCTCCATCTGAGACAAACTCTTCGCATTTCTTGCAAGAAGTGTTCAAGCACTGATAAGTTCTACTTTAAAGGCCACACTGAGCAGGTAACTTCAATATTTAATGCTGCGTTCGGTATAAATCCCACAACAGAGTTACAGAATCTACATCTAATTTTTCAGCTGTCACGATTAAAGGGTGCTCTTTCTGTTGTCTTTCTTGGCTGGAAGCAAATGAATTACAGAAGGAAAAAAAAAACATTAATAAACAAACAGTCTGTCTCCACCGGCTACTGCTGAGGTTTTTTAAAAGAGTTTTTCTTGGTTTTCGCTGAGAGCTTGTGGGTCAGGAGCTGCTGCTGATGTAGTTCTGAAAAGCCCAGCACTGTATGTGATGCTGAAGAAAAAACATGACTTCAAAGAAACAGTCAGACTAGTGGTACCTTTGACTGATTTTCAAATTCATGTCAGCTGTTTACTCGCCAAATACATCAAAATCACATTACAGTCAATAAAAACATGCCCACGTTAATAACTGAAGCTCAGAATTTAAGACAGCACCACTGTTTCACTTCTGTCAAAATGTATTAAAGAAGTACAAACTAAAATTGGAATACTCACAAAGGGAAAAAACACAAATACCAATAAGAAAATTCTTAAACAAATCCACCTGGTATATAAAAGTGTTTAGCCAGAGTAAATTTTCCTGGAAGTTAAGAAACCCTGCAATTGTTTTTTTGTTTTATTCTTTATATTGCAGACAGAACTTACTTGCTTAAATATAAAGCTACTTAAGGAGACGGTGAACAAGGGGATATAGTTAGCCTGTCTCTGCACAAAGGTAAAAACAGAAATCTGCACCCCTAAAGCTCACCAATTAAAACGTTACATCTTGTCCATTTGATCCGTACAATAATCATCTATTTGCTAAGCTAACCAACTGCTGGCTGTAACTTTGTATTTACTGTACTGACATGACAGTGGTATCGATCTTTCTTAAAATGTCAAGCTAATCCTTTAGAAATCCATCTGTGGGAAATGTGTGGAACCAACTAACTTTATATTAAATATTATAGAAGTCTGAGAGCAGGTTTTTGAAATATCCTCAAAAGACGAAGAAAAAAAAATTATGATACAAGTGGGACACAAAAATTGTATGGGAGAGCATTAACTTTTCATAGCTTGTGGCGATGACAATACTGAAAAAAAAAAATCAACCAACATTTGAGTCTTTTATTTTGTGCAAATGTTAATTTGACAACAGCTCGCCTGCAGAGAGCTGTTGGTGCAGTTTAGAAAGTGGAAAGTAGATCCACTGTAAGTTGTTAGCTGGGTTTGGTGACTCACAGGTGATGCTGAATGTCACTGGAGGGGACACCTGCTTTGAGCCCACAGTGTGCTGGGTGCTGCATGTGAACTGGGCGTCCGTGTCTTCTTTCTTGGCTGAGTACTCCAGTATGGAGGAAGTAGTCGAAAGGCCAGTAACGGGGTCTACCAGCACAGCCGTGTGGATGGAAATCCCTGGACAGAAAACAAACAACACTGTCTGAAAACTTGAGGGAAAAAAATGGTGTAATGACCAAAACACTGCATTCACACTGTCGGCAAGTGAAGCTCAATTCATCACTGAAGAGTAATTTACAGTAACGGCCCCAGTCAAGAGAGAGAATAGTATCTGTAATATTTATTAATGTCAGAACCACTTTAAAGAGCTGTTTTGTTAGCATTTAAAATTATACAACAGGATGAAGAAGAATACACACCTTTCCCATCATCCACCAGAGGATTATTGTTCTTTAACCATGTGATATTTGCAGCTGGATTGGCATCTTGTGCAACACATGTTCCAAGCTGTGAAACAAAAATTTAAAAACTTGAGAAAAATGGCAAAAACCTGCACTCGAAGACAAAAATATATATACCATGTCATGAATTTGGAATAAATCTGTTTAAATGACCCTGCAGCATCCGAGCAAATGTTTTAGCCCCTCTCCGGTATTTGAGGACTGAGTAGTTTTCTGCGCAATAGACCATGAAATGCCCAAAGCATTTCTAACGCCCCTCAGATCCTTTGGGTGTTTTAATTGCAGTGGGGGGGGGATTCTGCGCTTTACTAATTCATGAGAATCACTTCAAAGAACTCATTACTGTAGTAACACGGTCTCTGCTATGCCTCAAGATAACTTGGCTCAAGTGAGGGATTTCCCATGACAGTTTACTGCTTAAAATAATGTAGGTATAAGCAATGTTTATCATTAAAAACCAACCTTCGTAGGTTTGCCAATCTCCAGGTTCTCTGCTTTGTCAGAAATCTTCAGGCCTGCTGGTGCCTCTGCAATACATACAAAAATTTGTTAATGAACAGGGTGCTATTGTAAGTGTTTTGAGAGCTTCATGTTGTGCATGTCAGTCATTTTAGTGTTTAAACTAAATCAATTCAAAATAGGAAAGTGATTTTAGACTTTTTCCAGCGTGTACTTACTGTAGATCAGCACATTAACTGGGTATTCTGTGATGTCTGCACCAGCCACCACCATACAGGTGAAGGTCCGCTGGTCGGTCAGTTTGGCCGCAGAAAGCAGCAGACTCGAGTTTGCAGCCAGGCTCACGCGGCCTTTGTATTCATCAGGGGCAGTGATTGAGACATTCTGTGTTTTTTGCTTGACCAACAGGTCTCCTGGAAGTCCCTCTCCTTTGTTCTGGAGAGCAGAGTAGAGTGCATGTCTTATATATCTCTCACATATGGCATTGGCTTCCAGTTCAAATAAAAGCACAGTGTTTTGTTCCACCCCCCTCTGTTCATGCAGTGTCATATGGAGGGACAGATGCATGCTCTAATGCACAGCATATGCACTCAGACTGGGCGTGGTTCAGACATGAAAAGTGGGTGTCAGACGGGCGTCACCATTGTGAATCCATTGACCTCCACTGTGACTTACATATTTCCATTTAGTGATCAGGACGTCCTTTGCTTTTATGTCTCCATTGTTGCATGGGATCTCGAGTGTTTCCCCATACAGGCCGATAACAGTCTTCAAACCGCTGACTGTGAAAGAGAAAAGAAGAGACACATTTTTCAATTACTTTTCAGAGGGGCTAATCTGGTCAGTTCCAACACAGCATGACATTTTTAGACTGAAAATTGAAAACCGTTATTATTCTGAATGCTTAAAAGACCATCCTTTCTGTACATATTTGAATGACATTAATCAATACCACTTAGTGTCTGCCTAAATACACTAAGCACAGCAGTTTCTATAGAGGTCTGCTAATTTTACAGCTCCCCGGGTAAAAAAAAAACCCTCAACCTTTCCTGCCCTAAATTTCATTCAAAACATTGCCATGGAGACAAAGTGCTTGAGAGGGGGATGGGAGGAGGGTGCCAGCAGAAGTGTCTCAATGGGCTGAGATGAGGGGTTAGAGCCAGAGGGCTGCAGAGAAGAAGAGGCTGCCATGGCCCGACTGAAAATGAGGTGCTGCAGGGTTTTTTTTTTCGGTATTCAAATTCACATTTCAGACCTCTCTGAGTTCAGGCTAAGGTAAACGCACGAGCAGGTGTGTGGAAACGAAAATCTGACAGCTAAAATCCAAAACAGCTCATCAGCAGTTCAGTAAAGTGTGAGAGAACAAAGCAGTGGCCTACCAGCTTCTATCTGTTGAATATGTGACAAACAATGTTCGTGTATTTACAGGAAAAGCGCAAAACAATAAAGATGCTCAATATTCTGTGTGCGTTCAGCCCTGAAATTGTCTGATTATATTCATGCACCCAAAAAAAAAAAAACTAAAAAAACTTTAATGCCATTTCTGCACTGAAAAAAGTTGCATTCTCTCTTTACCTCCTAACTCACCAGACTTTTAAAGTTTTCTTCAGAGTGGAGGAAAGATGTGGCAGTTAATTTGCTTTGTGCGTGATACTCATTTGAATCCCATTTGAATGAAAGTAAATACTTTTACTATGGTTACCATTGTCTACATCAGGACAGAGTAACAACTAGGACCCTGAAAGAATATTTGCACAGTTGCTTGTGATGTCAGGATGAGTGGGTAAGTTTGGAGTTGCACAAATGTCTGCTTCCTATGGTCTGTTTTGTTTTCCACATGTTAAACTCTCTTTAGTCAAGTGTCATTTTCCCACCAAGACAATTAAACAAGTTCATAAAATGGTTGTGCTCTTGTAATGCATTACTTTACAAAAGATACACCACAGTTTGTCTCAAGTCAACACGGTCTGGTTTCATAGCCGTCCTCCTGACATTCAGCTAAACTAGTTCACGTTCCAACACTTGTCACTCATCTTTATGAACTGTCTGAAACAACATCGAGTCAGACGATGAATAACCAGTTAAGCCTGTCACTAAAGCCACTGCAGCAAGCAGATGACAAACAGACAATAATATGCTTTTAAACAGGGCATGTTCTGCCTCATATAGCTCTGCTATACTTTCTTTTTAGGTTGTTTTCTGCCCTTCCTGTTGCTGATATGACTGCCCTGCCATGTGGCTACTACTCTCTCAGTAGTTTGACATTTGGGAAATACATGTATTTCTCTTGCGGAGAATAAGACCAGAAGATCGATACCACTCATGTGTTTGTTAAATATGAAGCTACTGCAAGCAGCCGGTTAGCTTATCCTAGCATAAAGGCTGGAAACAACTGAGCCTGGCTCTTTCTAAAGGTGACAAAATTCACCTGCCAACACTTTTAAAGCTCACTAATTAACATGTTATACCTTGTTTGTTTAATCTGTACAAACCTGAAGTGTAAAAACAACAAGTTAAGAACCTCCTGGCTGTAGCTATGCAATTATTAGACATGTGTGTGGTCCTGATGTTTTCATCCAATGCTCGGCAAAAAAGCGAATAGGTGTATTTCAAAAATGTTGAACTATTCCTTAAATAGTGCTACCTAACACTGGCTGTGGCACATTACATCCCAAACATTGATTGATTTATTTTTACTTAATATATTAGCTGATTTTAAAAAAATCTTTTTTAAATTTCTTCAAGCAGGAAAAATGGAAGACTGAACTAAATGCCATTTTTAGTAGGTTTCCTAATTCACTATGACATCCGTATAGATATAGTTAAATTGATGAAGGCAAAAACATTAGGAATTACCAACACAGAGACAGGAAACAAAATAACACAGAAGGGATTTAAAAAGGTAGGAGGTATATATGTGGTATTGACTATAATAAGTGCTTTGAGCTCTATCCATGAAGGCGGAGCTGCTTATAAATGTGAGCATCAAAGCAGTCTAACCCACCCAATGAAAACTATTTGAGAAACACAGATACCGCAGCCCTTCACCCACATAGATACAATCCCTGCATTTAAATAAGGCTCGGTGACATTTATTAGTGACAGCATGGGACAAAATAAACCTCAACACATTTCAACCGCTGACAGTTTTACTGGGAATTCTTCACCAAAACACAAGTATAAGCTCTGTCACTTGTCAACTACAGCACAATTAAAACTACTCCCTGCACTGATTCCTCTTATTGTAATTTTTAACACCGAAAATCTGTCCCATTCACATTATAAAGTGATAAAAAAAGTATTTAGAGTGAAGTCATGCATTGATCAGTCTTAATAAAGCGACTTTGCTTAGTCAAAACGTCCCCCTGCGTATTTTTGCTATGTTTAGCACATTTTCTGCATTCCTTTATTCATGAACAATCATGCATAGTTCTTTTCTGAGCTGAACTGAAATGCAGCCACACCGCATGCTCCAACTAAGACCACATTCAGCAAGTGGGCTGGACTGTAAATTTCTATCTGCATTTCAAATTCAGATTTTGGCAACCCGGTGGACATCAGTCCGATCCACCTGAAATGGTAATGCAGATTGCTGGTGCAAACACAGCACGCTCATGTAGCTATTCCACACTCCCTTGTTTTGTTTTTCTGATGTAAATGTAATGAAACTGACTCTCATGCTTGAATGGGCTTCAGCTCAACGTGCAGGTTTCTGGTCAAGGCAGAAAAGATTGCACACGCTGGGCGGAAAAAAGGAAAATGGAGACATTGTGAATCCATTAAGAAGAGGCGCTTAATGAAATCTTGGTGCAGGACATGGGAATATGTTGTGCATATCTGTCAAATCTGATGATTTCCTGCTACATTTATTTAGGGTGCCAAAAATAATCTGTCTAGATTATGTGCTCCACCTGGGTGTGTTAGTGCCAGAATACTCTAATGGTCGAGGAAACATCCAAATAGTTTTTCAGAATCTAGTTGGCAACCAAGTCCACATATATTTTCCTAGTATTGAGACTCAAGAGAAAGTGCCGCACAACTTGCTCTGCTGAATCTTACAATTGTTAACTACGAGTCAGTTATATTCAGGTTACATTGCAAGCACTGCAGTGTTGGAAAGGTTATCACACTTCCTGTATAATAGACTCCTTACATTTCAAATTCAAATAGGAGTTTTTTGAATATTCAAATAAAGCTGTGTTCAGGCTCTCTGAGAACTTTAAAAAGAGTCTGTATTAAGGAAAAGGCTTTATCTGTGCAGATTACACTTTTACACAATGAGAACTAATCACACATGTTGAGTTACAGAAGACAAAGCTCCCGCTGCTTGCTGAGATAAGGTAATCCTTCGCCACAAAAGTAGGTAAAAAGTCCGACTTCTTTGGAGTCAGATCAGTCTCAAAATTAATGAATGCACACAGAAGGATTCACAAATGTATTTTGGGATTTATATATAAATGACTCTCTCCACAAAAAGACTTTTCAATGCACACAAAAATATTTATCGTATATAAATGTAAAACAATGAGGGGGCAATGGAATGTGGCACCAGAAAGTTTATCCCTTGCGTTTTGTTGCTTCAAAGTCCTTATTTTTTGGGATCCCACTAGGCTAGGTTTTGCAACAGAAATGAGGAACAAACTGTTGAAAAAATGCCACTAACAAAAATATAAATAGACTTACTTGAGATGTGTGAGGGACAGTACTATGTAAAAACTTTATGTCAACACCAATCACATTATAAAGAGGTCTCCTTGGCGGCAAATAGAAGAGCTGAGTTAAATGAGACTATATTCCAAGGTGCTACGTAGATCTGTGTCTTCACCCAAAATAACTTGGCATGCAAGTTTTGATGTGAATTTCTCTACTTATATAAAAGCAAGAGTTCTCATACCGGACACAAAATAAAATAACTAATACCCAGGCAATGGTAAATCAAGTAATAGACAGGCGAGTGACACAGACAGGAGGCAGCACCACAGGAGACACTTTCATGTTCCTGATTAAGGCTCCTCTATCCCAGAGAAGAGACAGGTGACGGCAGCTCAGATATAAGCTCACCAGGGAAATCAGCTACATCCCCACACTAGTCTCTATATTCCTGTTTTGCTACCTTACGCTCTCCCATTTGTGTGTGTGTGTGTGTGTGTGTGCGCACACACGTCTTTCAGCCACAGCATCAACATGGAAGCCCAAACTTATTAAGTGCTGAAAATGAGGATTGTGCAGTGAATGGAGATCCCATGGCGCATGTCCACAAAGACTTGATGGCAAATAGCTTCGCTTCAGAAGCGGTTCAGCTGTGAGGAGAGCAGACAGAACCACTTCGACTAGATCAATAATACTTGAGGAAAGGCTAGATTCTTATAGTGAACAGTGCTTGCCTAAGGAGCGAGAAATCAAAGAAAACCTAACCTTCTGTGACATTCTGCTTCTCGTCCTTGTCTTTTCTTTAATAATTTAACAAGTACTGAATTTTGATTATCCATATCAAGTAACTAAAATGAGAAGAGATAAGTGATTTAATATGCTCTGTCATTACTTGCTGTCAAGAAAAATAAAGCGCCTGCTGTCATTTAGAAAGGTGTGGGAAGGTTTCCGAAAATTGCTCCATCTAGCACCAGCGTCCCCAAAGCATCCTTGTAGCAATTTGGTGATGTATGAGCTCTATAGGCTCCTGTTTTGTCAGCTCTTTCTCCCTTAGCTCATACTTTACTCTGACAAGCATATGACTGTATTTAAATTCTGTTACAGTATCAGTTCATGCTGAAGAAGTGTTCCA